GCGGCAGCGGCAGATTTTCAGCCGCGATGGACATCTCTGGATTGTATGTATTTCAATTTCGAAAGATTTCTGCTAAAATTGATCTGTATTGAATTTTTATCAAAGAACAAGGATTAAAAATAGTTCGTTGGACAACCTACAATTCTCTGTTGACCTTCATTCTATACATTTAATTTTTTGTTTGTTTGAAGGAGCATGTCAAAATGCAAGAAGTGAAAGAGTACTTTTTTTTTCTTAATGCATACTTTTTAAGAAGACAAAAGAGATGAAAATTCAATGCTGTGAAAAGCTCTCAAACAACAGCACTCTAGTAATAAAAGTACTCTTTTACACGTTAGTAACCATATTTAATTCTAAAAAGGGTCTCTATTATAGATTGTATCTTGGCATACTTTTTCAAACAAAAAATTCAAATTTATAGAATGAATGCTAACAGCAGATTCTCGACTGCACAATCAAGAAAATATACACTGAGAAAAAAAACGTATTTTTGAAGCAGAAGATGAGAAAAATCATCAAAAATTTTGGCAAGAAACGAGTTACCAAAATACAAAATCGTGTCGTTGATGATAGATCGAAACTCAAGCTATCTTCCCATGTATTCATCTTAATTTTCATTGTTTTGACGAAAATTAACATTTTTACGGTAAAAGATCTTAAAATATTATCTGAATGAATACTGATCAAAGATCGAGCCAAAAGAAGAATTGTACTTTTAACTTTTATTTCTATTAGCAAATGCCTAAAATCGGTCATCAAAATTAATAAACACCAATTATTCGTGTAAGCAAGTCTAGGGACCAAAACATGTCTTTTCAAATCGAATAAGCATAAAAAAACAATAGAGAAATACAAATACCAGTATCTGACAAGAATCAATTTTTCGAGACTCGACTCGACTTGAAGTTGGACTCGGACAAACATTACTCCTTTCAAGGTATTCTCTTTTCAACATCAAGCTAATAATGAATAAATGAAGATTGTCACAAGAAAAATCTTATCTTGTTTTTTTTTCATATTGAATCTACTTGTGAATCTATTTCATAGAAAATGTCCCTTAGCTAAAAGATATGTTATACATTTTTATAAACAATAATAACACGGTTAATATCGACAAAGAAATTAATAGAAATGAATTATACATAAGTACTATATATTCGATTATGAAGATTAAACTGTAATATTTTCAACATACAACAACCATTTCCATTTCTTTTTATTTATCTCAAAAAAAAAGTCCCATTTAAAATAATAAACAAAATCCTTCGATTAAATATTTAAAAGAAAAATAAATGAGATTAAGCAGCTTGTTCGCCTGTAAACCAATCAGGTACAATTCCATTCTCTAAATATTTTTCACGTATAATTGATTGAGATTCAAGTGTATCAAGAGCACCAATGATCGAACCTAAATATAAATAAATAAAATCAAAAAATTTATTTCAATAATAATAATTACCTCCCAACCAAGCAGTATAATTTAAATGAGCTGGTGGAGAATGAAAATGAAATTGTTTTATTGCTAATTTATTTACATATGTTGAAATATTAACAAGATGAGTTAATTCAGCATTAAGTCGATGTAAAAATCCAGGCATCATTGCTGTACCACCAATAACTAGAATATTATCAGCAAATTGTCGACGAAGATCAAGTGAAGACTATGATCAATGAAAAAAAAAACAAATTTTCATGATAAATTATATTTTATATTTCATACTTGAAGTAGACTGTCAAGTATTAATGTTGCAACAGATTTTCCATCGATATCTTGTTCAAAAAGAACTTCACAAGCAAATTCTCTATATAAATTCGAATATTTATAGTCGATTAGAAATAACAATTTAATATACCTAATAATGCCCGGAATATGAATAACTGTTTCTGGACCTAATGGATAATCAACCGGTGAAGCTTCTCTAAACGTTTCATTTGAATCTAATTTACTCTTAGCATAGATTTGTGCTCGAGTAAATGGTGAGATAAAACAACAACGAACTAAAATAAACATTGTAAAATTCTTTGTGCTTTATTCAATGATTAGATAGTCAAACCTTTGATATCTTCTAGAATATCTTCTGAGAGTTTGAGACTCGCTTCATTAAATGATTGTTTTTGTCCTTGATGAATGACTAAAGCATGTTGTCCAAGCAGTAATTCGATTTCTCTAAAAAAAAACGAAAATATATCAGACAAAAAAAGCTGTCAGCGCAATGCCTTCGGAATCAAAATTTGAAACGCAATGTAGCTGTTATTGATAATCACAGCGAGATTTTTTTATTATATCTAATTTGGCACACTCTTACTTCATTATCGTTTTGCTGAATCCTTCAGAAATGCAATAAGAAACTGTAAACGAGACGCTATTGATATGTAACTATTGATTGTATATCAACAAAGTCTGCCACTGAGAATGTTTTAGTCAAGCAAACCTGGCCAACAAGATTATGCATTAGCGGCTCATGTACAACCTTTGAGAAAGTCTAATCATATAAATTATTTTCATATTGTCTCCTTTCTTTCTTTATTTTAGTATGAGGTTGTATTTGTGGTCCTCGTATTTCTAGAAAGTCTCCATGTTCATTTTAGTTAGAATTTATTGTTAGTTCTTACTTATGAATGGCTTGGCCAGCATATGGTAAACTATCAAACTGAACTGCTAATGGTACACCTTCGGCTACAGGCATAATTTGAGCTTCTTTATAACCAATATCAAGAACAAGTGCTGTGCTTCGTCCTAATGTATACGTAGCACCTAGATGCGATGGAACAAATGCTAAAGATGATGCCTATAACAAAAAAAAATAAAAAAACGTTTGTAACAATATTAACAATGAATTATTTAAACAGACTTCGAATTGTTTTAATAAAATTTCAGCGAGTAAATGTCGAAAACGTGTAGGTGTAATTACTGATTCAATAATTACAACGCGTCGTTCTCGACAATTTGCGATATTATATCTAAATGACATAAATGTCATTTTTATATCTAATATTCAAACATTCGACATACTTATAATAAATTAATCGAATAAATTCTGTGAGACGATCACGTAAACTTGTCAGATCTGAATTATTATCAAAAACATGTTGTGTCTAAATAAAGAAAAATAACTTTACGAATTGAATAATATTGATGAATACATTGCCATTTATTGTAACTCTAGTCGGAATGATATGACGTGGTGCAGAATTACCAGCAAATCCACATCTAAATTCAATATTATATGTCAATTCATTGTTAAAACTTAAACGTTAAATAATAATATTAAGTAAAAAGAATTGACTAAAATGATCAGTATATATCCTTCTATATAAACATTGTTCAGATTCATCATTCAATTATCAGGGTTGCAGAATCTGTCGGTAAAATGAAAAAATTTTCTCAACTATAAAGCTCAATGAAAGATTCGTTTGCAAAGTTGAACAATGTTTTTCTGCGAGGAAAAAATATTTTTCAAAATATTTCCACAAAATTCTAATATATTTTCAAAAATTTCCCCATATGCAGGCCGTACGCGCACACAGGTAGATTCTGCACCTCTATCAATTGCTCTAGTTAACTTGCCTCAATTTCGTACAAATCTACTTTTATATTTTTACATTTGATCATAACTGTTTTATTTTAATTGTTAATTTTAACTATGTATGTACGTAGCCAGATATTCTTTTAGAATATGAAAGTTAACGAAAGTGAATTTGACAACAAACTTCATGAGAGAAGTCGTACAAAGATAAAATAATAGAAATAGGAAACAATGAAAAGAAAAAACTTGAACACATCGAGACATCAAATTCCATCGTCTAGATTAGAGTTCACTCTATAAAGCGACGCGTTCTGTAGAGCTTTTTACTCACCCACGAACCTCATCTTTTATTCGATTCAACTTGGATTCACATGAATATAGATTTTCAGCCATGCTGAGTCTCGCGACAATGTCCGTCTCCTCTACAAATGAATTGAAGACTCACACCTAATTGAACTGAAAATTTCCGAATAGAGTTGAGAAACGTTTCTCTGCACGAGCAAAATAATAGAAAATCAGACTTTCTTCCTAAAAAGCTAGTCGTTTTGAATGTGATCATCTGCTTTTTCCTATCGCCGCAATTGTACAGAGACACATCTCCTAAAGTTTAATAATGTATAAGGTATACCACCCAAACAGATCAAAGTAAAGCTATGTGAAGACATAGATGGACCGAGAAATAAATCCACTCAAATTTCCACGATCAGCGAAATAACTTGCAAAGATTCGGCCACATATCTTTAGAGACTTACTCGAAAATTATAGTTTCTTTACAATACTATGTGCTCCGATCTTCCTATCCTATCGTGTTCTCGAAT